ACCTGTGGGGCGGTGATGATTGACGGGACAGCGAGGGGCTGAGAAATGGAAGGGCTGCTGAGGGGGGGCTGTGAGTTTGGATGTAGGATGTGGTGGAGGCGTCATGAGAGGGCTGTGGGGTGGGGCTATTGTAGGGTGACCAGACAGGGGGTGGGGGGTAATAGGAGCCTAGATAAGAAAAAGACACAAAAATTGGGACTGTCCCTATAAAATCGGGACATCTGGTCACCCTAGGCTAGTGTGAAGGGTCGGTGTCATGAGAGGCAAATGTGAAGTGGGTGTATGCTGTGGGGAGGGGGAGTCTCGTGGATGGGTGATTGTGGGAGGTGGGCAGGTTTGGGTGGGTGATTGTGAGGGGGCTACAAGGTTGTGGGAGGATGCCATGGAGTGAGCGTGAGGTCTGATTTGGAGAGGGCTGTGAGGTCAGGGATATCTTTTGTGCAACTGTGAGGCAGGGACGTGATTCTGTAGAGTCCCGGTGGGGGTGTATCATAGGGTTGATTGTGAAATATACCTATCTCATAGAGCTGGAAGGGACCCTGAAAGGTCATTGAGTCCAGCCCCCCGCTTCACTAGTAGGACCAAGTACTGATTTTGCCCCAGATCCCTAAGTGGCCCCTGAAGGATTGAACTCACAACCCTGGGTTTAGCAGGCCAATGCTCAAACCACTGAGCTATCCCTCCCCCCACAGTAGTCTGGGGGAATGACGTGGGGTCGTGAGGTGGAGGGGAGGATGTTGTGGGAATTGTGAGGGGGTGATTTGGGCGGGCTATGAAGTAGGGAGATGTCGGGCAGCTTGTGGGGGCTGTTGTGAGTTATGAAGGGGGTGTGAAGTGGAGGGTTGTCGTGTGGTGGTTATTATGAGGTGGGGAGAATGTCTCAGGGGTGAGTGAGGTGAGGGTGGCTGTGAAGTGGGGACATACCATGGAGGTGATTGTGAGTGAACTGTGAGATGGTAGCACATTTGGGGGGGTAATTGTGGGGGGGGAGCTGCAAGTTGAGGAGGATTGTGAGGTGAGCGAGCATGAGGGGGGTGACTGTGAGGACCCGTGAGGTGGGGTGTGTTGTGGATCGGTGGGTGAGTTAGTGAATAGGAGGAGGCTATGAGTTGAGAAAAATGTTATGGGAGACCATTGTGAGGTGGGGGATGTCCTGGGGGTGATTGTAAGGGTGATGACTATGTGCGAGCTGCAAGTTCAGGGATGTCTTGGGATGACTGTGAGGAGTCTCTGAAATGGGGGCATATTGGTCAGGGTGATTGTGAGAGGCTGGGTGATGAGGTATGTCTTGGAGGCAATTGTGAAATGGGGGGGGTCTTGTGTGTATATGGGATTCTGAGGGGTGTGGGTATTTCATGGGGTGACTGTGAGGTGTGGGGATTATGAGAAGGGGCCAATGAAGACCCCCTTTGAGAGAGGTCTTGTGTGGGTGAGTGATTTTGAGGGGGCTGTGAGGTGGGAGGTATCCTAAGTCAGTGATTATGAGGTGGGGGTCTCTTGTGCCTGGGCGGAGGTGATAATGCAGAGGGGCTCTGAGGTGAGCAGTCCAGTGTTTCGGAGGTGATTGTTGTGAGGGTTGTGAGGCATGGGCCTCTTGTGTGGATGACTGGAGAGGCTGCAAGGTGAGATTCTCGTGTCAGATTGTGAGATGGGTCAGGGTGTGATAGGGACTCTGTGATGGAGAGGTCTCATGTGATAGTGGGGGTAGGAGTTGCAGTGTGCTGCTGTGGTTTTGGGCCTACACACACACTGAGTTGAACACCTGTAGAAAGGGATGTTTGTGAAGTGCTAGGTCATCCACATCCTTCACAAGAACCCAGTCCCATATAGAGAGGAATGGCCCTGGTGTAAGAAGGGACATGCCAAGGGATCCAGTTACCACATGCTAATCAGGCTCCCAACACAGGTACACTGCTGCTTTGTCTGGCAGTGGAGATGGGGTTGAGCATTGGTAGCATTGTAGGTAGGGGGGCGGGGGCAACTTTACCTGTGATTCCAGAGAGTACTTAGGTACTTGAAAACTCTAGTTTTTTTTGCAGATAACTTAGAAATTAGCTGACAGGAGCATGTATCTAATTCCTATATGAAGAAAGAAAAAATATATGCAAACACCAGTTAAAGTCATATTTTAAGTTTATATGTAAATTTAGAACAATCAAGAGATAATTCAGCAAGCTATTCCCAATCCCAAACCTTCAGGTATCAGTTTTGGAGCCTTAACACAGATATCAGAAACACAAGTTTGATACTTTGTACACTATCTTTAGTAGAGATAAAATAAAATCTGCTTAAAATCTGCTTACTTTCTCTAACAGACTTCACTAAAAGTAAAAATAGGGTTGGCCGTAAGATGTGCAGGGACACAAGCAATATTAGGACCACAGCTTTCTGTGTACAGATTCTATGAGTTATTTTCATCTCCAGGTCTACTACTAGAAAGATGAGGGAAAAAATCAGTTGCTGTTTAAAGACTGTTTCAGCTACTGCATGGGGACCTAACCAACTGCTTGTCTCACTTGTGTTTCAGAAAGACTCTATTTATATTAACAGGCACAGCAGAAACGCAACCTTTGTACAGAATAACTTGTATTGCTATTTTCTTTACTGTGCAGTCACAGAGCTGTTGGCTGATAATGTTTTAAAAGTCAGCTTGAACTGAACTTGTATGTTTTCAGATGAACTGCTTTGTAAATCTTAAATGCTAAGATAGAGTTCAGTAGTTAAGGAACTAATTTAATTGGGAGGTTTAAAAAAACTCCTTTCAGCTGCGCTGCCTTGGTGCTGCTCTCTCTTTTCATCTCACCAACTTCAAAGTGTACTTTATCTCCCTCTGCACTGCACCCAACATCAGACATAAAGAAGAGGGCAGACTCAGGAGTTGGCAGAGTGAAACTCTTTAGACAAATTTTAAAGTTAAAGCTATTTTTCCTACATACAAAAATAATTGGAAAATTCAAACCAAGTCAGGATTCATTTAGAGCATTAGGCCTGGTCATATTTTTGAATACTTTATCTAGCCAGCATCTTGATATAATGATGAATTCATCTTTAGTCTTTATCCCATCAGGAATTTCAGCTCAAGTGAGCCCAGTTGGTGTTGATAGTCCTGAGCTGCTTCATGCATTTCAAGTTGAGGAATATTATTAAACTTCTCCTACAGATGGCTGACGGCTTTTGTATACTGTTCTTTTCTATGGATTTTCTTTTCTTGGTATTGAAAGCATTGCTTTGACTCTTTTAGTGATTACTGGTAGATTGGCTATATAACACTGGTCTACAATTTTTGAGAAGTCGTCCGCTTCAGAGATAAAATGTGCTATTTATTATGTATTTTGATGTGCTGAATTCAAATTTGACAATTAAAACAACTGACTGTCTACTGTTTCTAAGATTTTTAAGTTTTTACATTTTATGTCTATGTATATTG